GTCTCAAACTCAGCGATCCTCCTGCCTCAGCCTCCCAAGTGCTGGAATTACAGGCGTGCGCCACCACACCCGGCGATTATTACTTTTTAAAAATAATTTTATTGGTACATTTAAGGTGTACAATATAATGACAATCATCATTTGAAATCTGCACCTTTACATAATCTGTCTTGGTTCTTATTTTTTCCCCATTGCCCTGCTCTCCCTTCAATGCCTCCACCCTCCCTATCTACAAAGACTCTTTCCATTTTTTCTTCTTCTCATATTAACACAATTCCCCTTTCTTTTCCGCTGTCCCTCCCACTTCTCTTTCCCCTTTGCACCCTTTTCTTCCTATTCCACATTATCTGTTGTACCTTTTAGTCCTTATTTACACTTTCAGTTTCTCACACTAGAGAAACTATTCAGTATTTACATATATGTGTACTGTTTATTTCACTTAAGAGTATCGACGATGGATTATTTTCTATACTTTCACATATATTTAAAATATATCCTATTGAGTAGAACAAATTTTTATTTTTGTATTGGGGATCAAACTCAGGACCTTGTGCTTATAAGGTAGGCACACTGTCACTGAGCTAAATCCCCAGCCCCGAGTAGAACAGATTCCAAAGATAGACCAGGAATATAATCTTGGTTTGTTTTTTCTTTCCTTTTTTTGGTTTTTGGGGGCTGGGTCTCCTGTGTAGCCCAGGCTGACCTCAAACTTCTAATTCTCCTGCCTCAGCCTCTCAAGTGCTAGATTTAAGGACTCTTGAAGCTGGGCATTATGGTGCATATGTGTAATCCCAGCATTCCGGGATGATGAGGCAGGAAGATCACAAGTTTTTGTTTTATTTTGTTTTTGTTCTGTTCTTTTTTTTTTTTTTTTTTTCAAAGACAGTCTCGCTATGTAGTTCGGGCTGGTCATGAACTCACAGCAGTCCTTCTGCCTCATCCTCTTAGTGGGTCATAGGTGTGCACCACCACACCTGGCCACAAGTTTGAATTATGCCTGGGCAACATAGCAACTTAGTAAGGACCTGTCTCAAACTGAAAAATACCATAAGGGTGTGGAGTGTAGCTCTCTGTGAAGGTGCTGGACTTGAATTCCAGTGCCCCCCCCAAAAAAAAAGATGATGAAGAAGAAAGATGTTATTAGGTGTCCGTTATGTATCTCCTAAGAGAAGCAGTATCATTAAGTGGTTCTCAGTGAACAATCTTTTTTTCTTTGCCAAGGTCTAATCTGTTTTTATTTTGGACTTTAAATATAAATTCCAGTTTCTGGTAAAATACTTCTATTTTCTTTTGTCCTTAATTTTTCTTACAGTTCAAACAAGCAGTGTATAAGCAGACCATGAAACTCTTTGCTGAGCTGGAAATTAAAAGGAAAGAGAGAGAAGCCAAAGAGATGCATGAAAGGTACACATGCATATATTCACTTAAAGCGTATCTAAATGCTTAAATAAGGTACAGTAGGAATTTTCCCTGGTGAAGGAATTAGGTAATACACTTTCTTTTTGAGACAGGGTCTCACTATGTATTCAGGCTTGCCTTGAACTCACAGTGATCCTCCTGCTTTAGCTCCCCCAAGTGCTAGGATTATAGGTATGTGCTACCACACCTGGCTAGGTAATACATAATTTTTTTGGGGGGAGTGTACTGGGGATCGAACTCAGTATCTTGCACTTGCAAGGCAGACATGGCACCACTGAGCTAAATCCCCAACCCAGTAATACATAATTTTAAGAGACTCTCTAGCCAGGCATGGTGGCACACACCTGTAATCCCAGCGCTCAGGAGGCCGAGGCAGGAGGATCGCTGTGAGTTTGAGACTAGCCTGGGCTACATGATGAGTTCCAGGTCAGTCTCAATACATAGTGAGACCCTGTCTCAAAAAACCAAAAAAAAACAGAGACTCTAAAATAGTTACCTGAAACAACCAAGCTTTGAATAAAAAGTTTTCTATTTGATTTTTGGGAAATACTGAATAGACCTGTCCTTCGGGAATTTATTTACGCTCAAGAATGCTATCTATGAAGCCGGGCGTGGTGGCTCACGCCTGCAATCCCAGCACTCGGGAGGCTGAGACAGGAGGATTGCTATGAGTTCAAGCCCAGCCTGGGCTACATAGTGAGTTCCAGGTCAGTCTCAACTACATAGTGAGACCCTGTCTCAAAAAACAAAAAACAAACAAACAAACAAAAGAATGCTATCTATGTGTTTTCTTCCTGACTTTCTGGAATGAAATAGACAATTAGTCAGGCCATTGTTACTGAGGCCAGAACTTTGTGGGACTTGTGGCCAGCTTTGGTGAGTCAGTATTGTAGAATATCTTCATTTATAAAATGTTACTGTTCTAAAATACGATTTTTTTGTGATCATCAGAAATACTGAGGTTCATTTGGTTTCTATATTTTGTATTGTTGATTGGTATTTTTTTCTTTCTTTTTTTTTGTGCCCGGGATCAAAATTGGGTCCTTGCGCCTACAAGGCAGGTGGCGAACCACTGAAATAAATCCCCAGCCTGTTGATTGGTGTTTTACAATAACTAGATTTTTATGCTGGTTGTGTGAAAAGTCCTCATTGTAGGATTGAGTTATTCAGATGTCTTGATCAAAAATCTCCACCAATATGCTCATTCCACTGAAATAAGGTGGTTGTGTTGTGAACAGAGCTTTGTCACTAACACTCAGATTGCTGTTGGCTGAACTGTGATTACCTTAGCTATCTGGGTAACAGTGATAATTATATCTTGCTAAACCTCTGCCCACAGTCTGATTTTTTTTTTTTTTTTTTTTTTTTTTTTTTGGTTTTTTGAGATAGGGTCTCACTATGTAGTTGAGACTGACCTTGAACTCACTCTGTAGCCCAGGATGATCTCAACCTCACAGTGATCCTCCTGCCTCAGCCTCCCAAGTGCTGGGATTATGGGCAAGCGCCACCACGCCCAGCTGTGATCTGCATATTTTAGAATGAGATTTTCTTGCAGATGGATAAAGCCCTTTGCAGATGTCTGTGTAAGCCTATAGTCTGTAGGGGGTACACTTTAACTTGTGTGATTAGCACAGTCTGTCAGTGTCACATAAATACTGTGGCTGTCCTTTTTTCCTAGAAAACGACAAAGGGAAGAAGAGATTGAAGCTCAAGAAAAAGCCAAACGAGAAAGAGAGTGGCAGAAAAACTTTGAGGTAATTACCACAATGGCTAGGATTCTTATTTTGGAATGAGGAAACTTGGTGCCTGAGCATTCCCAGGCCTGACTGGGCAGATGGAATGAAATGGGATTTGTGGGGAAAAGTGGGAGCTGCAGAGGTTGGGCCTGGTGCTGGCTCAGCCTTCTGTGAGCTCTATCCTTGGCAAGAACTGTGAGGATATCCAAGGGAATTTTTTGAGAGTGTGGTAGGTATAGCTGCTTAAGTGAGCCTGAGAAAATGGAGATTGCACATTTAATTTAGGGGATAAACAATGAGTAGCACCCCACTAAGAAGACTTAAAAGAAATTTAAGTTTCTTGTGACCCTACTGTCCTTCCTGCAGAAAGAGTTGTGGCTTTTGAACTTGGCTTTTTGATACCTTCAGGTGTTTGGCCAGTTTCTAGATTGCAGCAACGTTTGGTCTTTCTTTTATAGGATTTAGGACTTAAGTGCGGAGTGGCTAACCAGAGTTCATGACTTTGTTTTTATCCCACTTCATGTATGAAAAGAAAGAAAATGAGTAGGCCCATTGATAATGAGGTAGAAGTCTTTGTGCCTCTCTCACACAGCTGTTTGGGGCCCCTATCCAAGTTTGGTGGGGCAGTAGGAAGATATAATAGAAAGAGTGGCTGTACTGATTTCTAGCTGTATGGTTTTGAGGAAATAATTGAACTTCATTGTTAGCATTTGTGAAATGCTGGTGTTGCATAACAGTACTCCAGCTTTTTTTTTTTTTTTTTTTTTAATTTGAGGCGGGGTCTCACTGTGTCATTCAGGCTGGCTTTGAACTCTCTTTGTAGCTCAGGCTGGCCTTAACCTCTTGGTGATCCTCCTCCCGCAGCCTCCTAAGTGCTAGGATTGCAGGCATGCGCCACCATGCCTGGCTAGTATTCAGCTTTTCTGAGGTAGGAATATTATGTGCCCTGAATCCCACGCTTTGCACTGTAAAGGTAAAACAAATATACATAAAACCCCAAACATAGTTAAACATTTGCCTCAGAGGGCCCTAACAAATGGGGCCTTTCTTGTTGTGCTCTAAGTGTTCCATTCTTCCAAACCTGGAGCTCATCCTGCCTTCCAGAGTCAGCGTTATGCTTTCTCGATCCCTGGAAATGAGAGCAAAACTTCGCTCTTCTTTGTTCTTGGATTACTGTAGAGTGCCAACCTGGGCTGGGATACAGAAGCATGGTAAGGTGGCGTGTAGGTTCTAGTCGCCCCACCTCAACTTTTTTGGTTCTTCTTTCTTAGGAAAGTAGAGATGGTCGGGTAGACAGCTGGCGAAACTTCCAAGCAAATACAAAGGGGAAGAAAGAAAAGAAAAATCGGACCTTCCTGAGACCACCAAAAGTGAAAATGGAGCAGCGCGAGTGACCATCTGGGTCACGGCCACAGAACCTTCCCCCAGCTATCTCCTTCCTGCTTTGAAGGACTCATTCTTTCCTCTGGCCTTCACCCAAACATAGAATAGTATTTGCTTTTTAGTCCATTTTGTTTTCAATACAATTTAATATGGATCAGAGTAATTCTTTTGTACATTGAAATGAGGGGCTTGGTTTAAAAAAGACCTTCCCCACCCCTTACCCCTAGAACCACCGGGATTGGAAGGTGCCACCATTGATGCTGCCTTCTCTTTCCACAGCCTGTAACTTAATGTTTTGTACTTCACTGAATTGCGATGTTTAGAAACTTCATGTATAGTTCGTGGAAATCATCCAATTAAACATATTGCTTACATTGGTATTGCTGTGATTTCAGAGACAAGCCTGGGCCACCTTAGGAAGCCCCTCTGCTTCACTTGTCCCCTTTTGAACAATCACTCGGTGCCCTGAAGCATCGCTGTCCTGCTGTTGGGTGTGTACCCTTCTGTCTAACTGACCAGTCAGTATAGTGTGAGGCTCTGACCCACCTAAGCCTGTCTGCTTTTCAGAGAGCTAGTCATTCCCCATCCATTACCCAGTACCATTGTGTCCTAGCTGGTCTACATTCCATAATGGTGATATTCTTTATGTATAGTAAATTTTTGTACCCATTGATACTCTCCCCCAGGTATTATTCCAAGGCTGGGTCTCTTGTCTGGCTTGGCCTAACCCCGAAATACTCTGGAGTTGGATACCCACAGCCCTCTACAGCTTATTTGCTGAACCTTATTTTTTCATTGACAAAGAGGGAATAGAAATTACTATGGCAGGGGCTAGGGATTTAGCTCAGTGGTAGAAGGCTTGCCTCCCCTGCAGAAGGGCCTGGATTTGATCCTTAGTTCCACTAAAAAACAAAACCTAACAAAATAAAATTATTGTGGCAGCTTTTGAGGATTCACTGTGGCCTGTCTGAGATAGCTACCATGTTTGCCAATATTGTTATCCTCTGTAAAATGAGACATCATTTTGAGGATTAAAGTAATGCATGAAAGCATCCAGTTTAGGGTGTGTGCTCACATGTCTGCTGTGGGAGAGAGTCCTATTTTGGGAGGCGCATAAAGGAAGTAGGTGACACAAAATGCAAAGACATGAGAAACTAGATGACTCAAAATGAGACTGCTATTTACAGTATCTTGTAGATGAGTAAACAGGTACAAAGATAAACGCACAATGTAGTATCAAGAGATTCTGCAACTTTGATTTGCTTCTTTGTGGAAGGTGATAGAAGCTTGGGTATCTTACTGTCCTTCCAACTACAGCTGAGCACATGAATGAACATGTAGGGGTCAGTGTGGCTCCGGATAATACGGGACCTAGGAGAGGGAGGGGAAGGTTCACTGCAGCGCTGACACTGGTCATGGGCCATTGCAGCCTGACCTGTGCAGGGAGTAGCCTCTGGCTTTCTAGGCAGGTAAAGTGACGCTCTCCAGCCTGTGGTTGCTCACATCTGCCCCTCCTTTAGGTTAAGAGGTAATCATTCAGTTAAGCCATTTGCAAGCTTCTCTTTGCCCTTAGAAGGTTGTGCCAGGGTACCAGGTGTGGCAGCACACACTTGTAATTGCAGCTATTTGGGAGACAGGCCAGAGGATTGCAAGTCAAACCTAGTCTGGGCAAAGTAACAACTAAAAAAAAAAAAAAAAAACGTGTTCTAGTAATCATCTCATCTGTAGGTGTGCTTGTTTATTCAACAAATTGCTAGTTAAAATGGTGAGAGTTGGGCGGGCAGTGCAAGGGCATCTTGGGCTACGTGGTGAGATGTGACCATGTCTCAAAAGGGGCATATCGGCAAGAGAACACGTACAAAGATCTCCGAAGACACTTGTGACTTGGATCTGGAGCGTCCCCCTAAAGCCTCACAAACTCAGGTGGGGCTTGTGGAAGGTGATTGGATTGTGGGGTACTACAGCCGGCTGTTGGGTAGATTTACTTTTTGACTTGGGGGTCTGGTTGGAAGACCAGTCACTGGGGCCATACCTGGAAGGGTGTAGCTTCCTCCTCGCTCCTCCCCTCCCTATCCAGACCCTTCCTGCTGTGGAGCTGGCCAACTGTGGACTGAAAATGTGAGCCAAAATAAATCTGTTCTTTAATTTATACTGTTGGCATTGTGTCTCAGCGTCGAAGAAAGTGCCTGAGACAGGCACAGTGCACTGCTCCAAGGGGAAAAAAAAGTCTCTTGATCTTGTCTTTAGCAACCAGGAAATGTCTTCCTGGAGAAAGTGACCTGTTTAGAAGTTGGAACTGAGAAGCTGATGCATCACGAGTGTTTTCAGCTGCCCGGGAAACTGGCAAAGGGGGAAATATTTGGCTCATGTAAATCTGGAGGCACAGTTTCAGGTATTGTTCATGGCTCAGTGACCACCAAGGAAACAGACTCTTCCTGTGCTCCATCGTCTGGTGGTTTGTCATCTTTGAGCTGTAGGAAGCCTGTGCCCGCACCACGCCTTCCAACAAATTGAAAGCAGGAAGAATTCAACCAAGAAGCAGTTTCCCCAGATATCACTGTCCGGGGAATGAGTCCCATGGATGCTTCCAAAGGTGAGTTTGGCTGGGAAAGCGGTAGAACAGAATGGGCAGACTGTAGACTAAGCTCTGTTCCTCGGGGTTGGGCACTGTGGTTCCCACTGAAGTAAAACGTCAGCAAGGAAGAAAGGAAGGACGTTTGCCAGCTAACAGTGTGGTGCTGACGGAGAGGACGCAGGAAGATGTTCTCATCGGAGGGAAAATCGGTCAGCTATGTAAGAGGGTAAGAATGTAATCCTTTTGTGGAACTGAACATCCTTTGTCATGCTGGGAGCACAGGCATGAAGGGAGGGAAGACCAGATCGTGTTATGTTCTAGTCAGGACAGTACTTCGGTAGAAGAACCAAAGTCTTCCCACTTCCTTTCTGGCACAGTTTGATCCCAGACCCACCTGGAAAAGATCATCAGTGGTCCCAGGCCTGGTCATCACCCCGCTTATAGCAGTATTTTTCAGGAGGACGTGGCTGAGGAGGGCTGTGTGTGGGGGCATCAGATTTAGGCAGCATCCCAAGACCGGCCCTGGGGCAGGACTGTCACGGCCTCTGCAGCCCCTTCACCCGTGAAGAATTTAAGGATGCTTCGTGCTGGATGGGCTTGTTGCAGGAATGCCGGGGCCCGGAGGATGAGCAACTCTGTTCCTCTTTTGTGGTTTGCTATGAACAAGCGAGCAGTCACCACTCCACACTTACAGCCAGCAGCTGCCAAGGCACCACTGGGTGCAGGTGAAAGGGAAGGAGCCAGTCAGACAGGGTGAGTCTTGGCATTTAGGTCAGTGATGACGTCAGCCCCGAACCTCAGCTTCCTTGTGTATAAAGTGAGAATTGTACATTTATTTATTTTTGTGGTGCTGGTGGTTGAACCCTGATCCTTCGCACTGCAATGCGTCCTCGGGCCTTTTCTAATTTTTGACTTTGTAACAGGGTCTCACTCACTGGCAAAGTTGCCCAGGCTGGGCTCAGCTCAAACTCGTGATCCCCTGGTCTCAGCCTCTCAGAAGGCTGAGCCTCTCAGAAGTCATGTGCCACCACATTTGACTGAGAATTCTACCTTTAAAACAAAGTATAGAGCCATGCGTGGTAACTTGTGACCGTAGTCCTGCTGTTAGGGAAACTGAGGCAAGAGGATCACATTACCCCAGGAGCTTGAGGCCAGCCTGGGGAACAAAGGATGCCATCTCAACAAATAAGAACGAGGTGTTGATAGTGAGGCATCAGTCACTGTCTTTAGCAGTCCAGTCACCTGTATTCTTCCAGCCCTGAGCTGTGGCCTCTCCCTCACTTCCACAGCTGGGAGGAGCTTCTGGCCCTTTCGCCTTCCTGGGCTCTGGTGGAGCTAAAAGGCAGTGTGGGAGACTGCACACGAGGCTGGGCCCCTCTAAGAGTGTGGAACCTCAGAAGAGCGGATTTGACCCTTTCCACTTCCTTCCCCTCTTCCTCAACCTCATCCTAGCACATCCAGTTTATCTGCCCCTTGCCGGAAATTATCAGCCGTGTTCCCATTGGAACTGGGGCCCAGGGCTCCACAGGGGTGTTGAGGACTGAGCATAGAGGGCATCGGAGGCAGCTTCTTAACCGTCAGCTTTGCCACTCAAGCTGAATAATTTCTTCATTCTGGTTTTAGCTGCCTCCTCTTTGGCCAAATGAGGATAAAATCACCTCCATTTCTGTCCTGAGAACTCCAGTGAGGTTCTATGTATGGGCAACAGAGCAAGTTTCCGGTAGACTGGAGGTTTCTCTTGTTTGTGGTGATGGGGATCAAACCCAGCACCTCACACAAACTAGATAAGTGCTCTACCACTGAACTACATCCCCAATGCTGGGTTTTTTTCATTTGTGTGTTTGTTTTTGTTGTTGCTGTTTGTTTGAGACGGTGTCTCACTATGTTGCTGATCTGTAACTTCCGGGCTCAAGTAATGCTCCTGTCTCAGCGTCCCAAGTAGCTGGGATTACAGGTGTGCAGCACTGCATTCAGAGCGCTAGTCCTGCTGCGCGTCAAGCTGAGTGTCCTTGTGCAAGTCTTCAAACTTTCCTGAGACTCAGCTGCCTCATCTCACAGGTGTTGCCTGACAGTTGAGTAAATCAGATAAACCAGGTGCTCAGCACAGCGTGGGGCACAGTGGCTGCCCCACTCCCCCAGTGTGGTGTCCCTGAGAACTGAGGACACCGCAAACACTTTCTGGTCCCTCTGAAGATCGTGCTTCAGGATTTAAGGTGGGATGCGCGGTGAGCGTGGGTGTGTGTGTGCGTGTTTGGTGAGACAGCTGGATCTTCAGTGGGCTCCCAGGTTAACTCAGCCAGGACTGGAACCATCAGGCAGTGACAGGGGTAGGGACTTGGGAGAACTTGGGGTTCCCTCAGAGATGCAGGAACCCTCACTCTGTCCTGTGGCTCTGTCCTCTGTCCTTTTCCCAAGCTGGGAAATAGGTCAGGGCAACTAGAAAGATCCTCTCACATAACAGAACTCTCCTCCCTCAATTCCGAGCTCTCTCTAGACTCCCATCAACCCTCCTCTACTTCTGTGGAATCTCCTGAGTGCTTGTCAAAATTTTATTTGCTGGGCCCTACCGGCAGAGGTGGGAGGAACTGGGCCTCTTGTCTGACCCAGAGATGGTCCTGGCACCCATGCTCCAGGGAGCACAGCCTTGAATTCAGGGAGCTCCAAATTTATGGGAAAGATCCAAAGTTACTTTCAGAAGGCACCACTACCTGAGGAGACACACAGTTGTTCTTCCCCACAGAGGACTACTGTCCAGTGGCCCTCCCCACGAGTGCCCCCAACTAAGGCAGAGATAGCCCTGCCTTCAGGGATACTCTATCTGTTGAGAGAAGATTCTGCCTTCTGAAGCCATCTCCAGCTGAGAGGGGACAAAGCCATTCCTGCTCGCCTGAGCTCCCAGGCTGAGGGAGAAGGCCACCCTCGTTCCAAGAAGTCTCTAGTCCCACTGAGGCAAAGGACCATAGTTCTGACGAAAGCCTACCTCTGCATCAGCCTAACTCTGCAAGAGCTCCAGCTTTTCTTGTTTTGCACTGAAAGTTATTCCTTATCTCTGCCTCTGCCACCTGCTCACCAAAATATCTTGACCTCATCCCTCTTCTGCTTTCCAGGCCCAGCCCTTCCTCCCAGAGGGGCTTAGCCTCAGATGGGCCAGGCCAGTGTTGTCTGAGCCAATGAGCAGACACCTGGCTGGATGTGGGTATCCCCCGTGACCTTGGGGTTCAAGCTCCACCCAGAGGGTTGGCTTCCTGGCCTCAGACACCTTGCCCACCCAGCAGAGCTGGCAGACAATTAATTGTTCATGCGTCGCTGCCCTTAAACACACAAATACTGGAGGACAGGTCAGGGATTTAACTCAGTGGTGCCACGATGTGCCTCAAAATCACATGGTCCCAAGTTTGATCCCCGGTACAAAACAAAACAAAAAAAGACATCACACACTCACACAAAGTGCGCAACAGACTCATCACCCCACTCATGATCT